AAAGTAATAAAATTTTTGGGGTGCATTTAAGTGTATCAAAAAAGTAGGTGCAGGTGTATCAAAAATGAATGTTTTGCAGCAGTAAGCTCCGAAATTCGAAACAACCACGTGATCTTCATAATTCCAGCCAGAGTTACCTGACTTGAAGCTTAATTTTAGCCAAAATCGAAATAAATCGAAATTTTTGCTTTAAATCGAAAGAATATTTCCGTGTCCCTGACGTACCTATTATAAACCTAAAACCTGTCACGTGCTAATATACTTACCCTAAAGTCAGGTACGTGCAATTGGTACGTGTAGACTGTCCGCTTACTGACGTTCTCCCGAAACCCGATAGTAACACCGGGTCACATGTTTGACATAATTCAAAGATACCGATTTCATATCGATATTTTAAGTTCATTATTCTTTAACTACATAGTCCTTAAACTTATAATGTATCCCTTTTTATAGATTATTATTCTCGTGATAAATACTTATTTCATCTTAAAAATATAGAAAGTTAAAGAAAATATACCATTTATTCTATATAGTGTTCCTATCCCTATCTACTAGTTATTCACCGAATATATTGACGGTATCTGGATATTAAAATAATTGAACAAATGAATATTTCTATGTTTAATCGGATCAAACCTCTAATATAGAGAATAAACCCGATTCCAAATTCTAAGATGCAGCTTAGAAAGTTCTTGAAAATCGAGAAACGAAATCAGGTTTATTAGTGGCGAAATTATTAATAACATTATTTGAATTCCTTATGTCATACTGTAATCAGTGAAAGTTTTTGAGAACATAAGTTTTTAAGTTCTCAAAAAATTTTTTATTTTTTTTTATAATACAATTCACAAATTTTATGCACTCAAATGAGAACATAATCTTTAAATATCGTGATCTCAAAAATGTTTTTGAGAACTGAGAACATTAGATACTTAACACTGACCATAATGCATTAAAAAAAGTATAGGTTTCGTATAAAAAAATTTAGCAATGGTGAAGTGTTTGGCGAAATTACTTTTTTAAACAAATAAATTTAGCATGTGACTTGAGTTGGAAGTTAGTGATTGTAAATTAATCTGTATTATTCAAATTTACAAACTACATTCATCTTCATCTTAGAACATTTATAGTACTGGTTTAAAGGTTATTCCTTTTGGCTTAGAACTGGAACCGATTATAATGTCATCTTCGGAAGGTTCTTTTTGGTATTCAAACACTCCAACTCCTAGATCCTGATTTTATATAAAATGCGATTACAAATATGGGACACATAAATAATGCCAATGAATTTGTTCTAGTTACCCATTCAATAACGTATTCCGTGCCATCTTCGATATGTTCTATATTAATACTAGTTGGGTCTTTTTTCACGAGTTGTTTGTTTGTTGATGCGATTCGTGGTAAGAATTCATTAACCCTTGAATATACTATAACCAAAATTGATGGTACTTAAGTCTTTGTTTTTTTTTGAAAGAGATTTTGCAATTTCAAAAAAATAATTACAATCAGTAGGAGGTTTCAAAGGAAAAGTTTTCAATTTTCCTGATTCTTTTTTCACTAATAGTTTTTGATCATTCTCTTCAATATGCTTAACGTCGGAAATTTGTCTTTCTTCGTCTTCTGATAAGAATTCGGTAATCCTTGAATACACTATTATTATTAAAATAAGATTACCACTGTGTTCGTGTTGTAACAAAGATTGATAAAACTTGTTTCTTTTTGTAATACAGTCACTAGGTGGCTTCAAAGGAAATGTTTCCAATTTTCCAGGTGTTGGTTTTTTATTCGAGGATTTGTTTCCCGTCTTTTTTTTTAAAAGACCAACTTCATATGAAATAAGATTTGGGATTTTGATTAAAAACTACGTGACAATCAAAAGTGTTAATTGACGCGACAAATTATAAGCCTACCAATCTTTTTTTCAATAATAGTTTCTTGACAATCTTCAAAGTCTAAAAGTTCTTTACTTGTATTCACTGGCATTTTGCTGGCTTACTATCCAAACAAATGAGACAATGATTTTCTGCGTTTCGCGAACTTTCATTTTTATTGGCTGATTTTGTAGATCATCCTGTGACATTACAGAAACACCCCGAAAAATTCTGCAGATCAGCCAATCAGATTTTGAGATCAGGTGTAACATGAAAAACTTAGGGAGCGTCTAATCACACAGCTCAGTGACGGGACTACCCCAGTATCGCCATCAAAAATTTCACCCCGAAAAAATTCTTTAAGTTCGTTTATGTTAAGGTTAGTGCCCA